TATTAGCTGTGTGGATCTGTTAGCAGCATGGTCCTGTTAGCAGTGTGTTCCTGTTAGCTGCAAAAAGCTATAGTTTTCTGTTAATTTATTTTGATGGGTGTATGTGTTGTATTTGGTACTCTTGTTTTTTTACCAACAAATTTCTTGGTGGATTTTGAAGTCAAATTGAAAAGCTATTTTTGACAGCAGCACATCTCAAAAGTTGGACAGAGATGCTCCATCCTCCTAATTTTTTGCCAACTAAACATGCAAAATGCTTCCTTGGTTGTTTATTTCTACCACTTTTTACATGCTGCCATCAAAATAATCCCCCCCCTTCCCCCCACCAGAAAAATGGTACACTGTCAAAAATGAAACACTTGATTTGGTCTGAGTGTTCCATTGAGAATAATTATAACTTTGTGAAATTTACTAATTATTAAAGTCTGTTTTTCTTCACATTTTACACAATGTCCCAACCTGGAACCTGAAGGTAAAATTTAAGATGAAGTTGAGTAATTGTGGTTGCTCGTCAAAATGCAGGTGGTGAGGAAAACCACCACACCAGAGGGGGAGTTGATCCCCATCCATCAGATCGATGTCCAGACGGAGAGCACTGTGGCCAGCACCAGCCTGTTCCTGCTCGCCCCGCTCATCATCTGCCACGTCATCGACAAAAACAGGCGAGTGCCGCTGCTCAGTTACCCTCGAGGACTGCACCGTTCTTATCACGTCACTTTTAATATTTAGTTCTCAGCAGCTTTCTTCAACCATTTTGCTCTTTGATGGGAAAACTGTGTTTTGCCCAGTACCTCCATCTGCTGGACAATTACAGAATTACAACTGAAATGTGTTGTTTTGATATCATTTTGCACCCGGCAGCGGGCAATATGCATTCTTTTATTTGTCTGAATGTTTATGAAGCATTCACTCTGTTGTGATCCATTTTTCTTTCTTATGTGTTTTGGCTAGTTTCTCTTCCTGCAGTTTTCAACAAATCATAAAACATTCAGCTCTTTCATGACAATCCTGCAAAGACTTTGAAATATTTTAGCCTTTTCTGCCATTTTTTCCTCATAGAAAACAAAATGAGCTCATTTTACATCCTTCAAATCTTTAGATGTGTTAACCTTTTACTGCTCCTTTCACATTTTGTTCTGCTTCAGCTTCTTTCAGCTTCCTTCTGCAAATTTAAACTTTTTCAGCTACTTTCAGCTGTGTTGTGCTCCTTTTAGATTCGTTCTGCTAACTGCTATGTTTTTGTGCTTCTTCTAACGTTTTTCTGCTAATTTCAGCTTCTTATGCTCCTTTCCGCTTATTTCTGCTTTTTTTCTACTGTTTCAGCTACTTTTTAGCAGTTTCATGAAAACTTGAGCTTTGTCAGATAATTCCACATTTTTTGCACTCATTTAAACTTTTTTCAGCCTAATTCAGCAAAAATGTGCTCTCCACTTCCTTCTTGTAGTTTCAGCTTCTTTCTGATATTTTTTTGCTATTTTTCAGCAGATTTTTGCTAATTTCAGCTTTTTCAAATAATTTCCATTTTTGTTCTCCTTTCTGCTTCTTTCAGCAAACGTGTTCTTTCTACTTTCTTCAGCTAATTTCAGCTTGTTCTACCTTTTCTGTTACATTTTTTTAAAAACATTTTTTAGCTAATTTTAGCTGTTTTCAGAGAAATTCAAGTTTTTTGTGGTAGTTTCTGCTACTTCCAGCCTCATTATCTTTTTTCTGCTAATTTCAACTTGGTATGCTCCTTGCAGCTTTTTTGTTGTTGTTGCTGGTTTCATCTTTTTCTACAGTTTCAGCTACTTTTTAGCTGTTGTGTTAAATTTAGGTTTTTCAGCTAATTCCATTTTTTTTTAGCTCTTTTGAACTCATTTCACTTCCTTGTGGTAGTTTAAACTTCATTCTGCCTTTTCAGCTACTTTTCGGCAACATTTTCTATTTTCAGCTTTTTTTTTTCCTACTTTCTGAAATTTTTAGCAAATTTCTGCTTCTTTAAACCTAATTCATCAAATGTGTATTCTTTCTACTTTCTTCAACTAATTTAAGCTTGTTCTACCTTTTCAGCTACATTTTATTTACATTTTTTAGCTAATTTTAGCTGTTTTCAGAGAAATTCTATTTTTTTCAAGGTAATTTCTGCTACTTTCAGCCTCATTATCTTCTTTCTGTTAATTTCAGCTTGTCATGCTCCTTTCACTTTTTTCTGCTATTTCAGCTACTTCTTAGCTGTTGTGTTAAATTTAGGTTTTTCAGCTAATTCCAATGTTTGGTGTTTTTTTTTTTTTTTAGCTCATTTCAGCTCATTCTACTTCCTTGTGGTAGTTTAAACTTCATTCTGCCTTTTCTGCTACTTTTCAGCAACATTTTTTATTTTCAGCTTTTTTTTCTACTTTCTGAATTTTTGAGCTAATTTCTGCTTTTTTAAACCTAATTCAGCAAATATGTATTCTTTCTACTTTCTTCAACTAATTTCAGCTTGTTCTACCTTTTCAGCTACATTTTATTAACTTTTTTTTTAGCTAATTTTAGCTGTTTTCAGAGAAATTCAATTTTTTTCATGGTAATTTCTGCTATTTTCAGTCTCATTATCTTTTTTCTGTTAATTTCAGCTTGTCATGCTCCTTTCAATTTTTTTCTGCCATTTCAGCTACTTTTTAGCTGTTGTGTTAAATTTAGTTTTTTCAGCAAATTCATTTTTTTAGCTCATTTCAGCTCCCTCCACTTCCTTGTGGTAGTTCAAGCTTCTTTCTACCTTTTCAGCTACTTTTCAGCAATGTTTTACTATTTTCAGCTTTTTTTTAGCTAATTTCCTAATTTTTGTGCTAATTTTTGCTTCTTTAAACCTAATTCATCAAATGTGTTCTTTCTGCTTTCTTCTGCTAACTTAGCCTTGTTCTTCCATTTCAGTTACATTTCAGCATGTTTTAGCTACTGGTAATTTCAGCAGTTTTTCAGCAGTAATCAGTCACACTGTATTTTTGCAGGAATTTAAATGTCTCTAGTTTTGTTTCCGTTCTGTGCCGTCAGCCCGCTGTACGACCTGTCGGCCATGGAGCTGCCGTGCAGCGACCTGGAGGTAATCGTCATCTTGGAGGGCGTTGTGGAGACGACGGGCATCACCACGCAGGCCCGGACCTCCTACGTCTCTGAGGAGATCCAGTGGGGACACCGCTTTGTTCCCATAGTAACAGAGGAGGAAGGCGTGTACTCCGTGGACTACTCCAAGTTTGGCAACACGGTAAAAGTGAGTGTTTCCGTTCATTTGTGAGAAACAAATTGCAGCTCCTGTTTGTTTCAACGCAGATAGAAACTGCTGCAAAGTGAAGCAGGAAACAGTTATTGACGCCTGGTGTTGTTGAAGGTGTCGACGCCGAACTGCAGCGCCAGAGAGCTGGACGAGAAGCCGTACATCTTAATCCACACCCTGCAGAAGAGCGAGCTGTCGCACCAGAACTCGCTCAGGAAGCGTAATTCCATGAGACGCAACAACTCCATGCGCAAAGGCGCCGGCAGCAGCGGGAGCCTGCGCAGGAACAACTCCGGGCTCATTCTACCCAAAGTCCAGTTCTTCACCCCGACGGAGGGAGGCCAGAACCCGAACGCCGTCACCTGACATGAGGCCCGCCTTCCGTCGGCCTCCGTGCTCCTCCTGTGTGGAACGAGGGCTGTAGGCGTATCGCTGTTTCTGATTGGACGACTCCTTCTTCTGTTCTCCGCCTTAACCCGACTCGTGTTTCCACACGTTTCTTGCTAATGCGACGTTTATGTCAACGTTTCTCTACAAAATAGATCTTTAAATAGAGTCAGCTCGCATTTATGGGATCTTTTTCTTAAAGTTGTGAGAACTTTAATTTTTCATGTAGACAAACCTTTGAACAACTTTCAGCACTTTATATTCTTAAATGTTCACGTTAATGTGTTAATTTAAAAAGTAATTAAGTGGTCATCGGATATTAAAAATAGTTATTTAAGACCAATGTGCCAAAAGGAACAAAACAATGTTTAAAAGATTTTCTGCCGTTCATTAATTTATCTGTAATTATGCTTCTTTAAAGCCTCCGGTTTTTATGTGCAGCTCCTGTTTTAGTTTTCTAATGAAGTTTTCATTTAACTGCTAATAATATTGTCACGTTTGCAAAATGTTTGTGCTGTCTGTGAATAAATTCACTCTAAACATAAATATTCAGCTACACAGGTTTTGGTATGGCAAGAATTCTTCAAATATGGCAATAATTCTTCAAATATGGCAATAATTCTTCAAATATGGCAATAATTCTTCAAATATGGCAATAATTCTTCA